ATGCAGAGAACATGAGGCTTCACTCCAAAATCTCCAAGGAAAAATAAGGTATGGTATTTGGAGAGCTACTGACAGTTAGATGGACTAACTATCTGACTTAGAAGTATATCAATGTTTTTTTCATGGAGACATGAGTCTGAAAACATATTTTAGGAAAAAAGGCCCTATGATTCGTTTTTTTCATGGAGACATGAGTCTGAAAACATATTTTAGGAAAAAAGGTAAAGCCCTATGATTTAAAACAAGTTCACTATCTTGTTTCTAGGTTTATGGGATGGGGTTCAACACATCTTTATAAATAGGAAAACACAAAGATCCAGTTTATTTCTGAAAATAACATTTATTTTGAGCTTAAAAGCTTAATAAGCTCCCCAATAGACACACATAAATTACAGTTTAAGAACAGCAGGCCGAGTTGTACCTCATCCAAAAGAAATCAGCTGGACGTAAGATAGCCATGACTATCTTTCCACAAGAACTTCAAGAGCACCTAAATGTCATAGTGTCTGAATCCAATCCAGTGTATCCCTTCTCTTCCTTCCCCAAATGCACCATGTTCTGTTTCCACTTCCCCTCAACATTACGTTTACATATTTTACATCTAGCCCCATTCTGCTGTCCCATCCTCCATCTTCCTCCAAAAAGAAAAAGAAAGTGAAGCAAAAGAATAAAGAAAAGTGGAGGGGGGGCATTGACAAGTATACTCTTTAGATAAGAGACTCAATTGTTAAATTAACATTTAAATAATGTTTGGCAACTCCCCTTCCCCCATACTTTCTATCTAGGCATCCAAACCTTCTTCTCTTGTTGGCTGTCACGCTGCCACTGGCTGCCCAGGCCATCATTCACCCACTGTTCAGCATATGGGAGAAAATTTAGATTCCCAATGTTACAAAAGTAAGCACTTAGCTAGCATCACTTCTTAAGTATAAAACTATGTACAGCTGGCATACCATATTCCAGATGTCCCACATGGATGAGAACTGACAAGTATAAGAATACTGAAAACCTAATTAATTCTAAGCAGCCTAAAATTGCCTGATCATTCTAACAGGACAGGTAAACAATGGGGGGCAACCCCAAGCAAGACACGATTAAAAAAAAAAAACCCTCAATGGCAACCATTATATCCTGTTGTCTAAACTTGGAACAGAAGGGAAACTCTGTAAGCAGCCTCCCCCTGCTTTCAGAAGCTACCCACTCCATGATCAATAACGTAACTTAGTGGTTCCCATCCTTGGGTAACCCAAGTTTTCTTGGACTGCAATTCCCAGAAACCCCAGTCACAACAGCTGGTGGTGAAGGCGACAGGAAACTGCAGAAATACTAGCCAAAGCTATTTAATACAAATACTTCATTAGGGCTCTCCAGAACACTGTTACAATGTTTTACAGTCAAATCAAATTTAAATCTCAAAGAACAGGATTACCTAAACTTTCGTACTGGCTCAGCTACAAGGACTGAAAGTAGTTTGAGGGCTGCATAGCCCATAGCAAGAAGCCCGTAATCAGACAAAGTTCCCGCCTTTTTTCAGCAGAAGAGTAAATGCATTTTTGGAGAGGAATGAGGTGGAAATTGATATTACTGGTTATCTAGTCCCAAGGGTGAAGGTGGCAGGGGGGGAAATGTTTATTGTGAATTGTATGTAGTCACTACTGAGTTTGTATTTGAGTTTTATTTGTATTTGTAATTTTCCTTTTAATCAATAAAATAATAATAATAAATCAGAAAGCTTCCTTCTCTGAGTATTCTTTCTGCCACAAAAAGGTGTACATCAGAGGGTGTAATTTGTAATCTTGAAAAGTCACAGAATGTGGGATGTGGGTTAGACGAAGTTGAGTGTCACTGCAGCAGCTGCCAGGGAAAAAAGGAGGGGAAAATATTTAAGAAACTGCTACTGATCTAACAATGCCCCTCACTGTGGCTTAAGATTTGAGTTTCTTTTTCCTTCAGAGGGCTACAACTGTTACTTGCTGTAACTTACAGAAAATGTAAATAATGAAATATTTTAATATGTATCTAGTTGGCTCCAAAATGTGCTTCTCCTCATTCTGATTATAGAGATGTACTGTATTACATTAGCTCTATGGAAGCAACTCTTTCTCACACACACCTGAAAAGAACAGAGGAAAAGGCACCCTTCTGCATACTTCTGTTCATGGGAATTTGGAACCTGCTGCAACCCAGCTGTCTAGAAAAAGATAACTGCTTTCAAACTATGTATAACTTCATACATGTAGCCATAAATCATGCCCTCTCTTAAAATATCATGATTTACACTTTAAACAGGTCTAGATATGTACTGCTTTCAAACAAATATCAGTACTACCTAACAATAGGTAGTACTGAAATAATTCAAATAAAAATGTAAGGCAAAAGCGAAATCCCCACAATGGTGTCTTGTTAGTTCCAAAAAACATCTATGTTTTTGATACTCAGATCTCATGTTCCCACAGCAGCATGAGAGCTGCCACAGTAGTGTGCTTTCACACAACACCACAGTAACATGTAAAATCCATACCACACTTCTTACTCACATCAACAACCACTTTTGAAAATCTGGGCTCCTCCTACATAGTCTGGAGTTTCTTAAGTTACTTCAGCAATGTAACGAAAAGTAATAACATTGCAGGCAATATGCTAATGGGGTAACATACAAAACCAATCTTTAAAAGAGATACCATGCTGAAACTCCATTTTATAACAATCAGTGATGCTTTAGTACTGTCTACTTACTTTTTCTATGTTGAACACCATCTTTCATATAGAATTCTCAGATTATAAAAACTATACATCTACACATAATGTTTGCTTTATAATTCAGCATTAGTTATAGTTCATCATTCTTCACATAATAAAGCAGCAAAGAGGGATACGAGTATCTGCTACCTGTCAAGTCAGAGAATTCCCCCAGATCAGTTAATTACATTTTATTTGCTAATTTACAACCCTGGT